GGTAATGACCGTTAACAGCACCGTCTCTTCATAGGATGGCGCTGCAGACGGCGCTGAGGAAGGCCCCGTGGCCGCCTGGCGAGGTCCTGGAACCACCGCCCTCGCCGCCTGTCGAGCCGGGAGGTCAGAGTTAGTTTTATTCCCTCGGGCGTATTACTTCTTAAATAGATTTTCTATTGTGTATTATGATGAGTTTGTACGTCTTTCTCCTCCAAAAAAAATTGTAGGTTTTTGAGAGAAGGATAAACTGTTATTCATCTTTGATCCCTATGGCCAAAGACTGACTGTAGCTTGTAATTAAATATGTAAGAAGTGATTGTTCGACACTATGCATCAGGAAATTTAAGTTCATTGTTTTTCTGCTTTATCAGAGAATCGGATCTTTTTAAATTCAAAGAGAACATGATGACATAAATAAAATGTGCTTCTTTATTTATTTTTAAAATAACACAAATAAAGATGTGAACTACGGCCGTAGCTATATATTTGTTTTTTGTAATACATAGGAAATTTAAAGAGGTAAAACCACCACATGAGCTGAGATAAAATACTACATTACCCAACTCGCCTTGCAGCTAGGTACTACACTATGATTCCTTCCTGGCCAATAAGAAGTGAGTGAAAAATGGTGTATGGAACTTTCAGAGACGCTTCTTAAAGAGACTTAACCCAGCTGGGAGGAGCACACTCTTGCCTTTCCTACCTTCCTCTTTCATCTGGAATGTGGAAATCATGATGTGATTATTTTACATGACACGCCTGTATCAAAACACCTCAGGTACCCCCAAAATATTATACCTACTATGTACCCACAACAATTAAAATTAATAAAAAATTTCTAAAAAAATCAAGAGTCAACTCCCAGTGGACACCTTGAAGCCAAAATACAGACAGTGCCTGGGTCCTTCAGGTCATATTGGTGCACTTGCATGCCTCTTGTGGACTGCCTTCTTAAAAAATTCTTTTATGTGTCATAATTGTTTCTGTTTTCCACTATGGAAGTCTACCGGACAATATCTCACTGATATAGTGCTGTATGTTCCAATTCACATGAGTAATTACAATGTATTCTAAATCTTATGTCAGTGTCTCTTTACTGAGTGTAGGGGAACCCCTGATGCATGATAAAGTAGTTTTTTTCTTAATATAAAAAATGAATGCCTCTGGAATGATAAACATCAGAACTTTCCAAAGTGACAATTACTAACCTTGTGTAAAATATTATTTTAAAGATAATTTAAATCTAAAATGACATGCAAAATGTGAATATGTTCTGTTCTCTGTTCTTTCCTCTCCACAAGGAGAGGAAATGGTAGATACCCACTTTGGACAGCACTGTATGTAAGTGACTTGAAGTATGTAGTCCAACCAGGCTACTGGTTTATATCCCAGATGTGTCATTTTAACTGCAGCAAGTTACTTAAACTTTCAATGGTTTTCAATTTCGCATATATAAAACAGGAATAGCAGTATCAACCTTATCGAATTCTGGGATCATAAAATGGGTTAATTGATATAACATACTTAGGCAGTATAAACATTGTTTTACATTCAGCTATTTTTTGTTTTTTGCCACCAACTGGATTTGGGTAGAAATCCATACTCTACTACTGCCATCTATGTGACGCAGGAAAAGTCAGTTCACTTCTCTGAGGTCTCAACCTTTTCTGATCTGGAAGATGAAGAGAAAACTATCGACCTATTAGTGCCACGGTGAAGTTAATCAAGATGCATATAAAGCCACTAGGTCAGTGCCTGGCTCATAGTAAACACCTAACAAATTGTCACTCTAACTTTTTATTTTTCCTTTTAGTTACTATCAGTCTTTTTTCCTCCCTTTAAACAGGCAATTTTATTGTCAGAATGAAGTGAAATTCCTCCAATGGGCAGATGTACTCATTCAACACTCACGTATATGTACAAACATGGGTAAAAGCACTGAAATATATAGTCACATGCATGCATGTCCCCAGGAAACACAGTGCTTGCAATCACATTGTGTGAAAATTTTATACCAGTTATAGTAAAAGAAAGTCATATGACATAAATACATAATTTAATGCACTTAAACCTGTTTTTCTTTCAAAACTACCTAGATAAAAGTTAAACACATAATATTACTGAAAAGGGATCCCATATTCCTCATCTCCATTCTTTAACTGTGCACAATAATCTCTGTCTCTTTAGAACAACATTCTTTTTTAAAGTAAGAAGAGAAAACCTGAACATGACATGGGGATTAAGCAATAAAACAGCTGCCTAATTACCTTCAGGGACTTGCAGATCATTCTAGAATGTCATTCTGCCCGAGAAGCTCTCCTTCTAGTAACATTTATGCTTCTTATGAACGCTGTTTTTAGGTCAGAATGCTTGTCAAATTACAGAAAATTTGATCTTAGTTCCTTCTCGAAAATTAAAAGATCAGAAAACAGAATCTCTCAGGTCTCTATTAGTTACAATATTCTATGATTTTATGATTCCTTAGAGATTCGTTTTTCTAGAAATGGTTGGGAGAGAGGATGCAAGAACAGAGAGTACACAAGAGAACACTGGTAAACTTTAAAATGGAGCAAGAGCCAACTTCACAGTCCAATGACACATTGAGAAAAATCTTGTAATACATTGTGTCCCTTTATTGCTACTGCCTCTTTAGTAATAAACGGGAAGCTACAACTCAATACGAGAATGTGTTCGAGGTCACATTTTGAACTTCAAAGAGATTAATGAAACCTTTGCGGAAGCTCTGAAAGCTGTGGGGAAGTCATAAAAAGGATACCGTCTGCACTTTGTAGATTCATTCTTGGTGTGAACAGCAGCAGGTGTGGGCATGGAGGCAGGATGGGAGAAAAGAACAATGTGGGGGCTTCTGCTGCAGAGGGTCTTCTCACAGGTTTCTGTTGCTCAGAGAGTCCCAGTTATATTTTCCTACCATGAAACTACATTTATCACCCAAAATCAGACTGTAACAAATCCATTTCTCACTTTTTGTAAATTACACAAATGGAATTTTGACTTTTAGGGATGTTATTCTGTTACAGTTTTAAACATATTACAGGGAAAGGTCTAAATAAACCAAGGTCCACTAGATGTCTAAATCTAGCTTTTCGTCTCTGACTTTTTCATAACAGGTTTATATTTTTGACTTTTCACTTTCTTTAATGCCTTGCAGCTCTCAGTACCACATGTCATCGGCCAATATATAAAACTTGTAAGTGAAGCTGGGAGAAAATGAGACATAAATGAAGAATCACGAAACCATACATGTTTCTTTGAAAACAGTTCAAGTTTTCTACAAGTGACAATTGGAACACATTTTGTTCACTGAGAATGAGAAGGGAATGAATGTTTGACAGCGAGTGGGTTACCCATTCAATGGTTTTTTTTCTAGAGTTCAACAGTATTAAAGACAATAACTGTTCCTCTCCCACTGTACACAGTGCCGGACACAGAATAAATGCTCAGTATATATTTTTATCTGTTGTTAATAAAGGAGCGAAGATATGCTTAGGCTTTATGTGCAAGTGTACACAATGGAGAGCAAAAGCGATGTGTACACATTTGAATGGATGAATTTAACATATCTGAGTCATTAGTACAAAAAAATGCCTTGCAGGCATGGAAGAAATAATGATCAAGTTCCAATATCCAGTTTTGTTCTGAAAGGAGATGTACTATATTCCAGTTCCTTTTTGTGATCGTTGGGGAAAAAAGGAAATAATACAGTGGGAGAGGAACAGTTATTGTCTTTAATACTGTTGAACTCTAGAAAGAAAACCATTGAATGGGTAACCCACTCTCTGTCAAACGTTCGTTCCCTTCTCATTCTCAGTAAACAAAATGTGTTCCAACTGTCACTTGTAGAATATGTAGAAATATGTTATTTGAGAATAAAATAACAAATATAAAGTTAAAGTAGACCTCAAAATATAGAAATAAGTAACACGAACTTCATTTTTTCCCTTTCACCTGAATCCTTCTTTTAATTTTAAAGATTGCTGAGCAATAGAAAGTCAGGGAGGGAGAAGGCAAGAAGGTATAAAGAAACTAACTTTAAAATTGGGTTAAAAAAGAACTATAGCTGCAAATTAAGGAAACCACTGTTTTAAACATATCAAACTAGAAATAGCTGCCATTATAGAATACAGATTAGTTAATGAAAGTGTTTGTTATTGTAGAACAGAAGGTCAGAGAGAGAGACACAGCACAGGGCAATTCTGAAACAAGTTATAAATGAACAAGCCATGAGAAGTGAGGGAAAAGGCTGAATTTAGGTGCTTATATTCCTATTATTTTCTGTAAAAACACCATGGAAACACCACCTCTAACTTGTGTGTGTCTCCGACCAAGGGCTAATGTGTGCTGTCATTAGTCAGCAGGTTGTTCTTGAACAACGTTGTGGAAAGAAGAAAAAATGCAGGTGGACACTTCATTCAGGCAGTCATGTATCTAACCTCTGAGTTTCCAAAGTAATAATCAAAAATAAATTTTAAAATGTTCCCTTCATGAAGGAGAATAGGCTCTGTAAGTCCATATGATAGCTGGAGAAAGTGAGTTGAAGGTGAGATTTCAGGGAAAACTGACATTTAGAAGTGGGTTTCCAAAAAAAACAAATAAAAGTTGAAAAAGATTAAATAGAACTCCAGAGACCTCAACAATAATATAGGATTTTCCAATAACAGAGATTAAAAGGATAATGGCAACATTTGTCCAACAATATATTTATCTGATATCTTCATTATTATTATTTTTATAAATATTTCCAGTTGAATATTGATTTGGATAATGAAGAATATCTTGAAACACTAATGAACCACAGTTACCGGGCTTTTCTGAAGACTCAGCTGCTTTGTGAATTTTACTAGTTTATTCTCATGTTTGGGATTGTATCTTAAGCAATTCTTAAAGTTGAGGAGGTACGGAGAGGTTCAGGTGAGCACCTGGGTGGGCCCTAGGGGAGAGTGACTGACTACATGTAACATGGAGGGGAGAATCTTGAACCAAATCTGATCAAACATCTGGAAATCCCTCTCAGTTTATAAAAAACACAGGAAATAGAAGAACATGCGAAATGATATCATGGGGATCCAATTATCAAAATGTAGAATGTA